TACAGTAATGAACTGCTTGAAAAAGTGTTTTGGGACACTTGGCAGTGAGAATTCTCATCTAGTGGACAAAGCACTTGTCATGCCCCATCTAAAGGCAACACGTGGTATTTGGGGAAGTTGGTTAACCGTTTTTCCCTACCACCTCTCAGATGGAGTGAATATGATGTCCCTTTTATTTTGCTCATGTGGTCACACACCCCGATGCACTCAGCCCTGCTATGTCTACTGGGTCACCCCCTCTTCCCCGTTACGGATATTCAGTGTACTTTGAAATGGTTGAAGCTGACCTATTGGTCCACAGCTCTGGCTTTCAGGACATGGTTCTTCTGTGCTGGATGAGATGTTGGGATATTGTGAGAAGGGCACAGTGCTCGTATTCCCTCCCCACAGGTGCATGCTGGGAAGATCTGGGGTTCGTAAGGTTAGGTGGGACAAGTGGCTGGTGTGACAGTCCCTCCTATTTGTGTGTTGTAGATGGAGTTGCTGAAAGGATTGCCATGGCGCCGTGCTTTGCTGGCTGTCATCCTGAACCTGCTGGCTCTCAGCCTCTCCACCACTGCCTTGCTTGGCAGCTACTGGTGCACTGGGACCCAGAAAGTGCCCAAGCCTTTGTGTGGGAAGACCAAAGCCACCAACTGCATTGGTGTCCCCATGCCACCTGATGGAGGTTCTAGCAATGTTTCAACCCCAGAAGAGGTGCACTACAGCTGGGAGACTGGGGATGACCGCTTTGCCTTCAGATACTTCCACACGGGGATGTGGCTTTCCTGTGAAGAGAGCATGGAAGGACCAGGTAGCATCTTGCCCAGGCAGCCACAACTTCTTCCCTTGTATTTACTCCACAGGAGTTTGGAAATGAAAGGCGGGAAGCTGACAACACTTGGGAGAAAAGCCTTCTTCATTTTCCTAGATGGCATCGGCCTTGTGCACTCTGTGGTCATTATATTTTTGTCCTTCATTGAGATGTTTACAGAGGGGGTCAAGGGAGAATGGTTGTCTTTGGCGTGCCCGTCAGTCTGGAATAGGGGCTGTGAAGTGCAAGTGGTGGTGGCAGTGACTTTGTAATGGCATTGTTCATCCTGATGTGAACTGGAGTGAGCCTCCTTTCCCTTTCCCCATATCTCCATTCCTATACACAGCTTCATGCTCTCCAGGGCACATTTGTGCATGTCCCCTTAGAAATCTAAGCAGGGTGATGTTATGCAGTGTTGTCAATTTATAGTTATCACTGTGAGGACTGCAATAGTTGGTTCTCCTTAAATCACCAAACTGAGACGTTTTGTGAATTGAACAGGGACTGGGCTTTTCTTAAAAAAAAAAAAAAAAAAAAAAAAAAAAAAAAAAAAAATAACTCCTTTAA